AACAACAACAACAACAACAACAATAATAATAATAATGGGAATCATCATCATCATCATTATCAACAACAGCACAACAATCATGCAACAAATATAATAGGAAATAATAATACTAACAACCACACCATGACAATTGGATCACCTCAGAAAGCAGTCAAGAGGCCAGCCATGATTCATGTGGGAGCCTATCAAGGAGGTTTTGGACTCGTCTCTCCGAGTCATTCGGGTGGAAATGAAGCCCAAATACCCTCAACGATTGTATCCCCCAGCGGTTCATCGGGCCACAACAACACGACCAACAACACAAATGGATCAATAATAACCTCTCCCTCAAACAAGACGCCATCTGGAAGCACCAGCAACACTTTTGTTCAACACAACACTATGTCTGTCATTAATTCTGGACCAAGAACCCCATCAGGAAAATCGAAAAAGCCACTCATGGAAAATGGAATCACCTCTCCCAAAGTATTCCGATCAACAGCCTTATCAATGATCCCATCCACTCCGACCAAATCAAGTCAACAACCATCCTTACAGACTTCCCCAGCGGGTGGATTGAATTCTCCCTTCAAAGAAATTCCTTCTCCTCTCGTTCGTAACTGCACTGCTATTGAGCCAAGGAGAAATATTCAATCCTCTGCAAATAATGGAATGGGAAAGATCACTCGCCAGGTGAGTGCCTCCTCTTCACCGTCTTCGTCGTCGTCGTCCTCTGCAAGCAGTACGAGCAGTAAGGGATCGACCACCCCCCAGTAAAAAGTCCATCATGGAGGAGTTGAAAATTGATAAGGTCAAAAACTCATTGCATCGCAGTATATCTGTTCATGCCATTCCATCCATAGCTAACCTTTGTGACAACCTATTCAATAATCAATCTCGTAAACTCTCCTATTCTTCAGCAAGTGCGCAAGGCAAACGACCCACCATGGAAGATGAGCACTTCTTTGTGAAGAACATTGAAGAGGCTCTTAGCCAACCTCCAAATTTTCGATTTCATGCCATGTTTGGTGTTTTTGACGGGCATTGCGGACCTGAATGTGCACAACATTGTAAAGAGGTAGGTTTTGAAAATGATCTGACCTTGTTGAAGATGTTACCTTGATCATTCTATTTTGAAAATGCTTTTCTGTATTGACATTCTTCTCGCAAACAAAATATTACTTTTCTTAACGATCGACAAATGACGAAGAACTTATTTCAAATTTTGGCAAGTAATCGATTTTTCCTTCAGGACATTGTTAGGGCCTTTGTTGAAAGGTAAGTCCATGACATGCATTTTGCATAAACATGACCACAAATTATTCCTTGCCCCTCATTAACTTTGATTGGTTCTACCAGCTTTGAAGCTTGTGACATTGAATTCAAGCAAAAGTTGTTCGGAGGTTCAGACGATTCGCTCTTTTCAGCAGAAGAATATTATGCTGGTTGTACAGCCAATGTTTGTGTTTTAAGGAACGATGATTTATATGTCGCAAACCTTGGAGACACAAGGTGTGTTCTCGCCCACAAAGGTTTTGCTATTCAACTTTCAGAAGATCACAAACCAAGCAATAAGGATGAGAGGATGAGGATTGAAAAAAACGGAGGAATTGTTTCATTTGGAAGAGTGAATGGAGCTCTTGCCGTATCAAGAGCCTTCGGAGATTTTGAGTTTAAAAGAAGGGTTCAAATCTTGTGAGCGTCGTTCCTGATGTTTCTCACTTTACACTAACCAAAGACTCTGATTTCATCATTATTGCATGTGACGGTCTTTGGGATGTCATGTCCTCGTCTGAAGCAGTCAAGAACGTCTATAATTATCTTCAACAATTCAAAGATCCAAGAAAAGCTTGTGAAAAACTTGTTGAAAAAGCTCTCAAGGATGGTTCCATGGATAACATTACTGTTATTTTGATTTTGTTGAAGGAGTTGAATAAAACGTGATCTTTTGTTGAATCTATCGATACACCATTCTCTTATGCGTGCGCAACGACTTTCGCTGGACTAATTCTTGTCCATTATCCAAGCGAAGCTCTGCTCACACATCCAGCGAAAAAACTCGTTGCTCACACATAAGACTACTGTGTAGATTGAAGAGGCGAAATTCATGAAATAATTTTCAAAATTAAAAAAAATTAAAAATGCTCTCATCTCTTGCGCAGTATGGTTCTGATTCCGAAGATGAATCATCAGCATCATTCGCTCCAAGCAGAGCAACCAACATGTCTTTGGCTACAAACAACAAGAGCAATGCTGAAAAACGAAATTGAATAATAATATCAAACAACAAGAGGAAGCAGTAGTCGTTACGACAAGTACGAAAAAGCAATCCGATCAAGAGGAAGTGATTATTGAATCCATAGATGATGAAGTTGGAGTATCAAATTTTAATTATAAATCAACTTCATCAAGGACAAATAATTATTCCGAATCTCCAAATCAACCATCGAATTTTGTGCATAACGCTCCTTCTACCACCAAAACAACCACAAACAATGTTTCATCATCGTCTTCATCAACAACCACGATAACGGAAGGTAAAAGAAAAACAAAGAGAAAGAAGGTTCCGAGTGCTCAAAAGCTCTCTTGATGCAACTCGCCGAGCACTCACTTTTTAATAATTCTAAAGAATCATCTGAAACAACAACATCAACAACAAATAAGAGAAAATTGTTTGAAGAACAAGAACGATTTCTCAATGATGACAGCGATGAAGAACTCAACGATGAGGAGGATCACATGTTTCATTCAACCACACCAGGTAAAAACAAAAATCGGAGACCACGAAGGAAGAAGTCTCTTCGTCGGATCACGAAGAAAAGGATACTACCAAGTTATACTTTCCAAAATCAAAAGATAGATTACCCTTGAATGAACAAAATGAAGATGAATATAACCTAGGACGAGAGGAAGAGGACGAGGAAGAAATTTATAACAGCCTGAAAGACATTCAAGAGCAAGATAATACAAATCCACAATCCATTCCCGAAGATATTCTCGCAGAAATGAAACGTCAAGGCATTGATGTGGATCAACTAGGACAAGTCGAAATTGTGGACGTGGGAGAACATGGAGCGAGTGAGTTGGTGAATTTAGAGGTGGAAAGAAGAAGAGCTCTCATTGAAAAACACAAGCGAGAAATTTACATGACAAAGGATGAACAAGAAGCTCTCAAACAATTTAACTTTACAGTGGAAGGAGCAGGAAACAAGCACCGTGTTAAGGTTGCAAAAACAAAAAATCAAATTTCATTCCTCGCCCAACAAGCAACAGGACGAGAATTGGAAATGGCTGAGAGATTGGAAAAATCGAGACAAAGCAATTCCTCTGCAAAGAAGAAATATGGATGGAGATAATGCATCATGATGATAATAATTGAAACAATGCTTTTCATGGTGGAAGTGTGTGCTTGATGAAAATTTTGTGAGTGACTGCATATGAAATTGAAAATGAAGGAAACAAAGATGCATCTGTATCATGTAAATTACTGTAAAGATTTTTTCTGCAGTTCTTTCCCCTATTTTCATATGGGACAATAATACAATCATTCCCTTGTTTTTCCATGTGGAAATGGTGAGAAAAGGTATGCAGATGATAAGAGTATGATGTGTAGACTGATATGATTGTTGACATTTCCACAAAGTGGACCAACCAAAGATACGCATGAACGGATATGACATGGATTTTATTCCCACTTCTTGACATCACCTTCATCACGATTCACTCCATAACTGGAATCCAAAAGTACGACACACTAAAAGCAACCAAATACAACACAAAGATCAATGGCACTAAATCAGGAGGCACCGGAGACCCATCCACCACCTGATCTGCTCTCTTTGAAGTGTCATCTCCAAAGTAGGCATACACATTCACTGCTGTCGCTGTCAAACCATACACCACAAAGGCACTCCAAAACTTTTGATCCAAATTTCTTCTTCCACCCACCACTCGAATTTTTGCAGCCAAAATTCCAATCATTCCCAATCCAATCCTTACCGAAGTGAATGGAGGAAAGAGAGTGACATCAGGTCTGTGTACAAGGACATCCAACACCCAATGTGAAACCACACCTAAAAACAGAACGCCATACAAGGACAAGAAGGATCTGTGATGATGATGAAGATTGGACACGCTCTTCTTAGAGTTGAATTTTTGAACCATTGAATACAAGATGGTAAGAATGAATGTCAAGATCAAAGAACCTGTCAAGGAATGTGAATATTCCGAATGAATATCGGAAGGGAAAATGGCATTCCTTCTCATTAATTCCACATTAAATTTCGCATGTTCATGACACAGAAAATCATACGGACACTCGTGCGACACGTTCATTTGACACAATAATTGAAGTGTGAAATAGGCAATATCGATGAGTTGTGTGGAAACCAAAAGCCACACCAAACTCACATCGGGAAAGAAGAAGTGAAGAACTCCAGCGGGTCCGTAATGACCTTGAAACATTTTTTAGTGGTTGGTGGCATGTTGTGATTTCGTTGTTGTTTGGATTGAAAATGGTTGGGAATGGAAGGATTTGAGATTGAGGATCAGATTTTGCGATGGAACTTGTCCTTACGTGTGAATATGCGCAAAAATTGTCCACAAAGTCACTTTGAGCGTGTTACATTGTAACAATCACTCTCTGTCTCTA